CAGCTCATCAAGTGCCTGATGGTCCTGCTACAGCTTTTTACACCTTAAAGGTGCGAAGCGTGTGCCATTGAGTTTATTCATGGTTGACTGTGTCGTCTCTCGATTACCAAGCCGCAAGATATCGTTTAAATTATCGGGATCTATTAATCATCCGCTTAGCAATATATCAAACTTCGCACCTCGTGTATTCTAATACACGAGTAAATGGAACAGAAATGATTTAACTGCTCAACCGTGGCGAGCGCCGCTTGCTACCGGAAAGGCGTTTTACAATTTGCCGTATACCCTTGATGTTCGTTTGCATAACGCATAAAATGTTCACTTATTTGATGGGCGCACTTTTCTGCGCAGCGAGGTCGAACATAACTTGTCGATCAAACGAGTTGAACACAGCTTTAATTGGTCTATGGTACGTGTAACGCTGCTCTGAGTCTGTCACATAGTGAACATTTTGTCTATACAGCCAAATCCCGGACGGGAATTTGCTCATTCTTCTCTCATTCAGGGTTTCCGTTCCACATTAAGACGGCGGACTAGGATGGAAACCAGCAGCAGCATCAGTGCTGAGATTGGGATGATTTCTCCGTACCTAGCACAAACGATCCATTTACTCTTGTTGTGTATGACCATCATATTCTACTCACACCAGTTATTCAGGGCTATATTATCCTTCGATACTTGTTAATGCAAGTGGGTCAGCTCTTCACGGAGTGCGATTACGAGAGAATCCGGACCGACAGCATGAAAAATGCTGAAGGCCGTGCTCGCGTTTCTAAACTCTGCCTCCAATACAGCCTCTAAAGTGGACGGCCGTGATTCTATTTGCACAACCTGAACCCAAGATGCTCTAGGAGCAAGAGGTCGACTTAACTGCTCTCGATCGTGCTCTACTCAACAAACCACATGGCGCCGGTGTTGCTGCTGACTGTTGCTCTGACACCTAAGTTCTTGCGACCAGTTGGAAGGACCTATGATGGTTGCGCTCTGCAGCTTTCGTACTGTCTTCAAACCTGGATTAGGCTGCGCCAGTAGCCATACTGATAGTGCTTAGCTTACCGTATGTTTCTCTTGATACAGCCGTAAAGTATGACATCCTAAAGCCATAAGTTAGGTCACTGCATGTTCGTTGAACCATGCTCAGACGCGTGAATTTCCACCATCTCCGAAGTGTCCTTTCTAGGCGGTTATCAAAAAACCGTGCAATGCTCGCAACTCCACTTGATCCTTTACGTTGGTCTGTTTTACCGCTTATTCCTATCGACTGTTTGCACTCAGTCGAGAAGGCACACGAATGGTAATCGATGATGGACACTAGCCCATACACTTGCAATGATCATTCTTCTGGTGCGCCCTAGATGCAGTTTCATCCTCGGTTTTGTGGTGTTCGTCGTGCCACGCAGTCCTTATTTGCTACATGATTGACTTTTAACCAAATCTTGGGTCATACCAGAGATGTAAAACAGCTCTCGTGGGGGAACACCATGCGCACTATGTGTCATGCCGCATTCGGCATTATACAAGTTGATGCATTCTTATTTTTTTCTTCGAAATGCCAAACAAGTCGTGTTACCTATTCTCCGAGCATTTTTGTTATTGTTAGTGTCGTTGTTGTTCTTATTGTTGTTGTTGAGGCTTTCAATGTGTTCAGAATTTCTAGAGCTTTGGAAAATAGCATATTGGAATTAACTTTTGAATCCAGTGATGTGTATGTGGTGAAACCAACAGTTTTCTTGCCGTTCATTCTTCCATTCCCAAAATCATGTACTCTGTCCCATCCTCTTTCATTTGTTTCCCACTATTCGCGGTACAGCGGTAGTTAGCACCAACTTCGATATCATTTTTTACATTTCAGCAAGGCACCAGAAGGCCGACTAGGCGAGACCTTCAAACCGGCCGTTACCATTTCGCAGAACATAATTTTTACCTTATCTACTGTGGATAGACCAGTTTTGTACAGAGACTGCTCATGTCGGAACCGTTACAATTTGTGCAGTCATGTTGGTCTGATGATAGGATCCCGACTGTGAGAGAATCGGTGCACTAATTCAAAACGACAGATGTTAAAGCATTAGGGCCATTAGCTTTATTTGGCTTTAGTCTTTTGAATTTCCTGTTGATGTCACCTTGATCAAATGGGTCATCTGGGGCTGAACTAGTGATTGAGCGCAATGAAAAATTGCTAGACGGAGAGCAGCTAAACTCAGCATTGGGTTTGTCCACGTACACTGCCCCAGCACAATTGATGGTACTTTTACAACTGATTTGCTTCAGCAGCCTCCGGAGATCACGGTAGCCATGGTTTCTCAGTACGGTTTCAATGTACAAACTCTAGCATAATGCCCATTTATTACGTCAAGTTCCGAAATAGAAACAAAACACGGTGCTTTAAGCGAACAGTTATTCTTGATTAATTCCTCATCAGGCTCAAACAATAATATACACTAGCGTAAGATCGGTTGCAATCGTCAACCTAACAAAGAAACCATTGATCAGAAAATTTAACGTTATCATGGCAGTCATCTGATCACGTGACTGAAGTCAGGTGGGCTTGCGGAGTGCTATCACTTCTTGCCCGTCTGGTGGTCGGCCGCACAAGTTATAGTGTTTGTATCATCTTCTGGACACACAAGTCCGTGTTTATCAAGCGTATGACACTCCACAACTCCACCTGATTCCAGTCATATGATCAGATGACTGCCATCGTGAGCACAAGTTAAATTTTCTGATCATTTGTTTGTTTGTTATGCTGACAATTGCAACAGACCTTACCCTAATGTATATTATTATATGAGCCTGATTGGGAATTTATCGAAAACAATTGTTCGCTTTAATGTACAAACTGTTTAACCTTGTTATTTCAGTTTTAATTGCCAAAGTTAGACTTTTGCCGCGGGTTGTTATTTTGAACTTGCAGGCGCGTTCTTTTTTACTTCGTAGTTTCAGCAGGCATGAAAAACTGTCTGCTCGCAGATAGCTTGTTTCGATAGCGCAGCATAGTTGGAACTAAAAATTAATGTAACTTTGAGATGATGTCATTGCATCGGCAGATGCATCTGATTTTGAAAATGGTAATGATCGCATGAGTGGAACACAACTGAGTGCAAATGCCCAACAAGACTCAGTATGTCGACCAATCAGAACACAAAAACAACTGAATCGTCTTCAGGTAGACCCTAGAGAAATGTGCGAAAAATACGTTGGCGCTTGCAGTTCATAGAGGATGTTAGACGGCCGAACGGACTGAACGTCCCGACACGGTGCTTTGCCACCATGCGTGCCAACAGCGGAAACGGGCTTCACGCGAAGCGCTGGTCAAATATGGAACACAGCTTCGATGTGCGTTTTCATCACTGCGCACCTTAGCTAGAGGTGGAAAACTCAACTATTGTGCCGCAACACATTAGATGAAAAGGACACTTGAAACCTAGGTATGCCAGCTCAGTTTCCAGTAACGGATGGGCCTCGTTCCGGAAAGCTACCAATGGGTATTGTACCGAAAAAAATTCTGTTATGCAAAATTTATAATATGCTAGGCGATGTGAGTGGCTGGCAAACTTGACTTGGCGTCGACTGCGCGAACGGGACTTGACTCTTGGCCTGAATAAACGACCAAATATGGCTAACCAGTCACACGGAACGCGTTCAGATTCGTGGAGGCAAGGACGCCGAAGATGCGTGGGTCATATTTTTCCCAGAATTAGCATATGTGGTTGATCTATAAATTAGTACCGTTCTTTTACTAGAATGCACACCGTCCACCGAAGCTTGACTTTTGGTTTTCACGATTGGACTGTACATCAGACAGAACGGAACTTGCGCAGCAGTACTGCCGGCGAAACAGTGCAACACTTTTTGCAACATTTCGTCCAAAGTACTTTTACGGTCACCGAGACCGTCTTTCTCTTTCCATCTTTCTATCATTGGGTCAACATACTGCGCACAATTCACCCTTTGTTACCTTTCGCCACCAACTTTTAGGCCAGTTAAAATCAATTGTGGGAATATTTTCATAAAACTCTACTCTGGTGACCGGATACAATTCCTTGGGATTCTGTTTGCTCAAAATTGCGGGCCTATTTTTCCGACAGACACCTGCGCACTCTTTTCCCTTTTGTTCATCTTCTTATAAACTTTACAATTTGATGATATCATTTCAGTTATCTACAACTGACAATGTAAAGAGCTGCAAAGGCGCCCTTGACTTGACTTGTAGGCCTCGATTCGATTTCACAACTCATTGCAGATCTCTGTGGCCTGCCGATTAAAGTGTCAACCGTGAACCACTGCGTTCCGGGTTCCGCCCTCACCTCTGGCCATCTCTGCTTGAAGAGACAGAAAAGACGAAATCGGTCTTGGAATGCAGTGCTGGGAGCTTCCAACATTAGGAGCTCTCCTCGATTATTTCTTGCTCTGAATTGATTTCTCCTCTTTAATACTGGTTTCTTTAACATGAATCATCATGCAGGGTGTGGTATGGACTTTTCTCTTCATGTAACTGTCCGCACGGTTTCAAGCGAATACACGCGGTACCTCACCAATCAAGTCAGGTAATACAGAGAACGGTGCGACCGAAGCATGCATCTTCGAGGTTTTAGTTATTGCCTGCGGTTGTTAAAATTGTCCGTCTCTACGATGTTGGTTGTGTTCATCTATAACCTTTTATGCACAAGCTTCTGCCTTCACTTTTACATCACCTCCGTCCTGACGCTAAGCATACTTTACGGTTTCATGCCGTAACATCAAGTTGCTGCTTTTCGTGCGACATCGTTGCCTAATAAACCATGTTCATACAGTTTCTCGTGCTCGTGATATGTGTCTATATGCTCGCCACTGCCTCCGACAACCCGACCCGAATATTTCCGGAATGTTCATCCAGGGAACCCTCCAATAACTTTTATTATGCCCATCCTCCTTGCTAATTGAAATCATTTTCCAACCGTTACAAACTTCAAAACCTGCAGTGCTTTTACCGCCATGGTTTCTTATCTATTGTCTTTCAGGCTCTGCAGCAACTCCATTGGGACACCGACCAGACCAGTTCCATTTCGCAACATTTCACCCACGAAGCCATGCGACATCGGGACCCATTGTTGTGGGAGTCTATGGTCGGAAAGTATCTAGACGACCATTCCCGTCGTGAACATCTCGGACGCGAGTACTCCTCATTTAGCGGTTTCCTTCTTGGCGAATTAGTTCGAAAAGAGGAGGCGAAGGATTTTAACAAGGCACGCATGAATCAAGTAAATTAGGTCGTTTTCACAGTCTTATATACTTTACTGCAGGCAAACTCGCGGGCCTCCATCATTGACCTTGATGTGGACGGTGAGTTAATCCGTATTCCTTTGAATCTCGGACTTGTGTGCGCCAGGAACAGACGCAGAAGATGAACTAACCAATCCGGATACGATGAAGCAGCAATTTCTGGAACTGATGAAAATGCGATTTATAGCTGGAAAGGATGATTTTGATTACAGGTTGGTTTTGTTGTTCCCTTTTTCTTATGCTAGTTCGGCTTCTAAGTGCAGTCTTGGTGCTAATGCTGTCTACTTTTGTGATTACCCCGTTGTTTTCTGTCAGATTTCGTTCTCTTCGGCGCCCACCTGGTCTTTCGTACTTGTGCTAGTGCATTGCGACCGCTCTCTTGTGCACGTCGCGTTACGCTCGGTACTAGCCGCTAATTCTGCAAGTCTATCGAATGCCATGTACGCACTGTTCATATTGGGCGTCTGAAAGGCATAATCACCTACAGACTTATTCTGCTACTCTCGTTTTCACCTCAACATTTTGCATTTCGAAGCTGCGAGGAAGCGAACTAGATTACTCAACAAATGTTGCCCAACGACTTGACTGGTTGTTGAGAGAGCATTTTCGTTCCCGTAGCCCAGCTCCATCACCTCTCTTAATGAGTTTGCATCTAACGACTAACATCATGAATTGAACCATCACTCATACAGATTATCCTAGGTATGTCGGCCGGTGTCTGAAGAGGTGAAGCGAACGCGTTGTTGTAATCCTCTGGTCACAGTCTCGAAGCCGCATTGGTACGGACGATCTCGCAGTACCCACGCACAACTGGTGGTGATCGCGTGGCAGCGATGCGTCGGTTCGGCGCATCGACGTACTACTGGTGCCCTCCTTGATGTACTCAGTCTCCACTATGTATAGTCCTCGTACTCCATACAAGCACCTTGTGTTATCAGTGCCAACTGATCGTAGTCACCTCAACGTCTAATTACTCACCATCCGATCACCTGTGACGGGGTACAAAGACTTGAACGGGTTCAGCATATAGCTACCAGACTCATCCCCAGTTTACGGAGTATGTCGAACGAAGATCGAGACATACTACTAGTTGTGAAATAATACCCCGAGAAAATATTAGAAGTAAGATGTAGCGAACAAGCTTGTTTTCGTTGGATCATCACCAGGCTAGTACAAACACAACTATGTAGGTCCAAAATGAACACATGAATTACTGGCATCAATAAATCAAATATTTCATCAATAAGGCTATGTGATTACCCCGACCTGTGTGGAGTCGGGGGGAATTGCATGATATGTCTGCTTACTTGTGTTAGTCTTTTGCCATTGTAGACAGCGTCGGCACAAAATTCTTATGTGCACACAACTCCGGGTTATGGAGCCGAATTGCGATTGTCTCTGCTGTCGACAGCAGGCCATCTGACAGCTCTCGTATGGCGTCCTGACACACAGCAGATCGGTCGGAAGAAGTCTTTTAAGGCTTTTGTGGTTGGTATCCACTTAATGTGACAATACTACGCTCGTCATATTCTTCCTCACACCACTGGATAGCCAAGCGGGACAAGGCTCTCGAGCTCTTATGGACAGTCGCCTGTTCCTTTTTCCAATATACCTTTCTCGACACGACCAAGAGAAATTGTACGTACAGAAGGAAAATTGCGACCGCGGTATCCTGTCTTTGAGCTGCTGGCGGGCTGTATACCCCGTCGTGTTGTCGGTTTCGATTGGACCTCATAATGACGCACCGGATATTACATCTGAGTCAATTCCCCATGTTGAGGCCACTACTGCACCTGTGCACGATAAGCGATACTCGCATCGAGAACGAAGTGCAAGCTCTTACATCTCCAGAGAAGCATAGGCAGAAGCTATAGATGCCCGAAAACCGGTTTACGTGATCTTCCTTGACTGTAGTGAAGCCTTTGACAAAATTAGACGCGAACGACTGATGTTCAAACTCCACAGAATTGGTATTACAGGGAATCTTCATCCATAGATTGCCGATTTCCTGAGAGGATAATGCGCGTGAAAGTGAAACAGACCTCGACTCCTGTGCCTATGACTAGTGGCATTCCCCGAAGATCCGTGATTGGACCAGAACTCTTTAAACTCTACATCAACGGCCTCCCGACAGTACTTCAGGCCTACTGTTTGATTTGCACCCATGGCCTTAAGCTATGTTCAACGGTGTCCAGCCTTGAAGATACGGACAGACTGCAGGAGACTCGACCAGCTGCACGACTGGTCTGTCAGGTAGCGACTGCCAATAAACCGGGATAAATGCGCTGTTATCCCAATAGGTAATGCTTATCCACTCGATGCATACCATGTTGGTGGGTTTCTGTTCAGGAATACCACTCACATGTGATATCTCGGGGTAATCTTGTCTTCCGGCCTTAGAACATTTCAGGACATTTTGAAGAAGGTGGTCACTGGTAGGTGCCTTAAGAACATCATTTGATCGAATGATTCCTGAGAATTTTCTGTTCACCTCATGCGTCCGTCTAATTTTAGGATATGGCTTACCAACTATCAATCCGCTTTCAAACTTTGCTATGAAAGGTTCAGATGTGTGCTTCGAAATCTGTTCCGGGTCTTCGTAATTTCCCACACCCCATTCGACTTCGGCAGCTACATTTATTCTCTTTGGAGTTCAACCGTCTCCTGGGCGACCTCATCTACGCTAGACTCATCCTTCTGAACCCAATGAACGATGGACATTTTATTCGTTTGCATGAATTACTTAACTAACTTCAAATTTCCATTTTTATTATTTCTTTACCTAGTTTTCATGCGTTTTTTTACTTTTACTTATACCATATTTCATTTGTAGTCTCCACTTTGATGCACCGAATTTCGCTTCTACAACAGAGCATTACCTGCTATTCAGATTCGCGCAAATCGTGAGACGGTCGGTCCCCAGCTAAATGTGTTCCGGGTACTCCATTGTCCTCGAGGTGAGCTTATCTGCACAAAACGCATCCTCCGAGGAGAACTCGGAAGTGTGTTACGACAATTCTTCCAGTCCAACACCAACTGTTCCACACGAAGTCACACATGAAAGCTGTTTAAACAAAATAGACACTAAATTCGCGTAGATCTCACTCTATTCACTAGTGGTAAACGAATGGTACGGCCTCCCTAGGAAATTTTGGATGCGCCATCCGGAGACAGTTTCTAGTCTGTTTGATAACAAATCTATGAAAATGCTGGCATCTTGCTGCCACCACTACAGCTGCGACAAACCCTTGAGGAGCGTCGTAACGCAACGACATGCAACAAACCAATAATGATTCGGAATCCACGAAGCTAACAGTGATTTTCCCTTTTGCTCTCTATAACTATGAACTCAGGGTGTCTCCGTTAAGTGGATTTACATTTAGTGATCAGGCGGTCCACTTCGCCCTGTCAGAGCCAGTTCTGGTGGTGCATGATCACTGGCTCAGGACAACCATCTTCAAATGATCTTCATTAACTTGAGTAGCAAAATGTATGAAGTAGACGCCATTGTGGACCACTGTCGACCGGACTTCCTCGCGTTCGTTGAAATGTGGTTGTCACCAGACCTAGTAGATGGTGAAGTATACTCACAAGGATACACAATGCTGGAATCTGACCGCACTCCAGACCGTTGCGGTGAGTGCGTAGTTTATTATCTCAGCTTTTTTCCGAGAACGTACCTGTTCTGATCATCAGCTGAAACTGCCTTGGCCCTTTCAGTTGTTGTTAGTATCCCGAAGCAGTTCAACGCTGTGTTAGTGGTCTCATCGCTTTCATTCGTGTCCATTCAGATAACAGATGGCTGATTATGGATGATCTTAACCTCCTAGAAGTAAATTGGCTAGAGAGATCGACCACTAATCTTCTTGAACTTACGTTGCAGTTATCCATACACTAGTTCGTCGACCAGCCTACCAGGACAGACCCCGTCCTTCGTAGGTATTGTATCTGCTAACTTGCTAGACTATATTAAAGACTTTACTTACAAACCACTTCTGGTGTGCAGTTACCACCTTTGTTTGACATTCAAATGTTCTCTCTTTCAAGTCAATGTGGAAAACTACATTGGAAGTCCAGTGTATTAGCGGATGACAACGTCCAAACCGCATGGTTCTGTTTCAATCTCTACCTTACTGAGATCTCCGTCATAATCCAATCACTGTGAGAAAGATTAACAAGGTGCAATTACCAAGGCTCGATTCGGTTGCGCTCAGAATGGTGGACAGATGAACTAAATACTAGTGTACCTCCCTCAGATGTTACTTCTCGGCGCTATCGAGACTCTCCTATGTGTTGTTCGACTAAGCTATGAGATAGGGTTGGCCAACTCAGCTTCACTAAATCCAAAGCGTCTTTTTGCTTATGGCAAGGGGCGAAGCATATTGAACTCACTTCCACCAGTGATTCTGACGGCACTGCTGCGCACACACGTCAGGCAAAGATGTGCTTGGTAGCATGTCAGTATGTGGGAGCATCCGTTTGGGAATTTTTGTTACTGCATATTGATCTACCTGTGAGAGTTTAGGCAGATTCTCTGATGACAACTACCTCTATTTCAGAGACCCAGGTACTTAGGCTTCTACAGAAGCTAAATCCCACGGAAGCGGCTCAGGTGGTGCTCTTCACCCCAAGTTGCTCTACATATTGGTAATCAGTTCAGCAGGGCTGCTGCGGCACTGCTGCTTGCCGAATCACCTGAGGCGACATGGGAGGTAGATGTCACACCTCTCATTTTGGAAGAGAATCGATATGAGCTTTTCATGATGAAACTAGACAAGGGTCCTAGACCCGACAACCATCCATCTTTTCTGTAAGATAGAGGTTACTGAGTGGGTGGGTTATTGAGTGAGTGAGAGGCTATTGAGTGGACTCGCTTCTCTGTCTAACACTATTCTAACACTGAACAGATACCTTCAGACTAGCGATTGTCAACTGTCGTGCCCATCTTCAATAAGGGTCAACGTACTTTGTGCAAAAATCATCTAGGCATTAGCCTTGTTTCTGTTGCCTCCAAACTTCCCATGGGTATCATTCTCCGACTATTTACTGGTCTCCGTGAGAACCGAATCACTGCAAGCCAGGCTGGCTTCCGCCCTGGTCGCAGTTGTATCAACCACTTATTTACTCTTCGCCAAGTGTTAGAGCAGAGAGACATACATACCACGACTATGGTAGTTTTCCCTGACTTGAACGTCGCCTTCTATTCTGTTGA